GAAATCAGAGAGGCAGTGGAGACGGAGGCCCTGAGTTCTCTGGGCCTTACTGATCGCATCGCATGGGAATCGATTGTGAGCATTGATTACGGTGGGAATGTGGCGTAAGAGAAATGGATTTTGAAGGGAAGACCTTAACGCTAACGCATCCCAGCCTTCAGGGCGATCTTGCTTGGTGAAGTGAACTTAAATGAAGAAAAGTTCATTGCACGAGTTGGAAAAGTGCTGATGTGAAGCCGCAGGGTGGAACCGGAGTCCCGCTCCCGACCCGGAAACACAGCGAGCCTGTGCTCAGGACTCCGTGCAGTCAGGTCCCCAAGGAGAGAGCGTGTGGAGGCGACACAGAGCGGGGTTCGCCGGCGTCCACGCGTAACGGGGTAGCAGGGTGGGGCTTTCTGGGAAGGACCTCGAGAGGAGTCTGGTAGGAGCGAGACTTGGAGCAAAATGGGGAAAAGTATAAAGCGGAGCAGCGACGAGACTGAGAAAGAGGGTCACTGACTGTGATGAGCAATTTGGACCTTGGAAGTGCAAACGCAAGGAACCTCTGTGGAGCTCGATGGCTTCAAATTAGTAAGTGGCACTTTTGTTTGAAGGTGTCTGCCTATTTTGGCTGTATAAGTAGCAGGGTGCCGCAAAATCAGCCACATGGGTGCTGGCATCGGCCAGAGGTGGTACCGTGCAGCATTCTGTGGGTGCTGGGCTGAGACACACTGTTTTGGCCAGCCCCGTGTCAGATTCGGATGAAATTCACTGGACTTATGTCTCTGGTTTTGTGACCTTGTTTCATAGTATTTTACTTTAAAAATTCTAAATCTACACTCACTGGTTGCTGACGCAAGCATTCGGGGTCTTCATGGGTGACATATTTCTATTTCTATGTGGTAATTGTGGAGGATGGGATACTGACTCGAGCCTATAGTCGGTAGCTGAGAGTTTGGTTCCCCTGAGGCTGGTGTTGCCTGTTCTATCAAATGGAGAGATAACTATTACCAAGGAGTGATATGACAGTCGGAGACCATTTATCTTTGGAGTCTCTATGGTTACTCTACAGTTTTCTAACCCATTTTCTGTCGTTTGACATTTTTTGGAACCCCACTAGGAATTTGAAAATCACTTAAAACTGAGTTTTGCACTGGTTCAAGTTTTGATGGCTATGAAATAACCTGGGATAGAGAATTCAATAACAGCGCCATTTATTTCCCCCAAAGATAGCTACCGATCGCTAACAAGCTCCCCACACGTGCCAGCCAAAGCTCCGTGCGAGTCCTCTGGCCTGGTCCGTGCTCACAGGGCCCCCACGGACCTCAGGAAGGGGCTGCGTGGGTGTCTGCTGCGCTCGGGTGCGAGAGCGGCAGCTCGGTTCAGCAGTGACCTTCAGAGCAGGGGCTCTTACCCTTCCCCCAGCGGGCAGGGCTTCAGTCACACCCCGAAGCGCTCCCCACCTTTCTGTCCATCCTCACCCGACACTGCTAAAGTCTCTGCTGCACCGCTCCTTCCTGGAGCCCCAGACACATGGACACCGGGCTGTGGGGAAGACGCGGGCCTACAGGCGTGGCAGCCAGTACCTCCCTCCGCTCAGCCGCCCAGCGGGCTCCTGGACACGCCGCAGCTGACACACCCAGAAGGCTCTTTCTTGACTCTGCGTTAATGCTGCGGGCTCTGTCCTTCTTCGTGATTCATTTTCAGTACACAGCTAAAGAAATGATATTTGTTCTCACTAACCACCGACTGTCTTCCGTTTCTGGCCCCCTCCCTCAGCAGGCGCTGGGATGGCCATCACAGAGAGCGTGGTGGGGATGGCCGATATTTCCGCTAGAGTTCTGCTATCAAAACTTTCTTCCTAGTGTCTTCTTGCTTTCGCTCACTCTCAGTCGTGTGAGTCTGTCCACAGAACACGGCCCGTGCGGTTCTTGTTTGGGGATAGGGGCCACGCGTCAGGGGCCACACATCAGGAGCCACACGTCAGGGGCCACGGGTCTGGGGCCACACGTCAGGGGCCATGCGCCAGGGGCCATGCGTCAGGAGCCAAACGTCAGGGGCCACTGGTCAGGCGCCACACGTCAGGGGCCACACGTCAGGAGCCACACGTCAGGGGCCACGGGTCTGGGGCCACACGTCAGGGGCCATGCGCCAGGGGCCATCCGTCAGGCCCAGCCGCACTGCTTGCAGTCAGTCATGAAAACGCCGATGTGGAGCCTTTGAGGACCTGCCCCTGTGACTTTCAGAGACCCTCCATGGTGGTTGTGTACATGGAAACAGTGGTTTGTTTCTGGAGAGCCAGCCGTGTGCAGAGTGTCTCAAGGTTGTCATTGAGCGTAGAAGGAATGTCACTCTTCACCTTGGCCAGCCTGTCTGCACATTCTTCAGCGTGCGCCAGCCGGGCAGTTATCAGCTGATGTGATTGTTGAATTTTTCATTAATCACTCACCTTAAGTGCTTGTCCTTTGCTTCCAAAATAAACATGTTTTCTACGCTTGTGAGGAAAGAAAAGAAGGAAATTTAAAAGAAAATAATAGATGGTTATTTTTGGCTTTATTATGAGTGCTAAATATTATCATAAAGTATGGGATTACAAGTCAGGTATTAATGAATAATTCATTCAAGGCACTTTTTGTTCAGCACTAATGAACACTGAATATTTACAAAAATGACTGGGTGTTGCTATTAAGTTTAAAGGAACACCTTCCTCTCCTAAGAGAGTAGGATTATCGGCTATTTCTCCTGAAAATTTGGGAGTGGCTTTACAAAGTGTTATATTTTATTTAGCTTTATACTGCTTTCTAAAGGTGTTGCTTATTTTTTGAGAATTTTGTCAGATGTGCCACTAAAATTGCCTATTTCAGTTGATATGATTTTTGATATTTATCACTTTAGTTAACAGCCACACATGTAAATGTCAGTAGTGTATTTCTCTCTTCTACATTATGTATTATCTTGGCCCTTAGTAAATACCTTTGTAAAAATGGGTTTTATTTATATATTAATAAAGTTTGTGAGCTAGAAATCCTGAGTCCTCTGTCTAATTGAACTAAAATTACAAAGTCAGTTAATTATGGGATGGCCATAGAGAAACTTTATCACACCACATAGTATTGAAACAGCTGTTGGTTCTTTAAAAGCTTGACCTTTTTTAGCACCCAAATAATGGGCCCTGAAATTAAAAATTAAAAATATCATGTTTTCCTAAGTGATAATTGGATGAAAACTTGAACATTCACAGGTACTTCTAGAGGCTGCCTCTTCTTATTTGTGTTTATTTTCAGAAAAATGACCAAGGAATTTCTCCTAATTTTTTTTTTCCAGCGATATGATCTATATTTCTGTCACTGGGTTCTGATAGTGTAATGTTCTCGAGTTCCAAATTCAAGGTGTTGAAATAACCTTTTAGTTGAGATAAGAAGAAAAGAAACATCTTCCTTATTCATTTTTAAATATTAGTAATATTATTTTACCCTCCATGAGGATCAAAATATGAGAGATGTTGTTTCTTAAGGCATGGGGCAAAATGCAATTATACAGACAAGTGGATTGTAGCAAATAATGCCAATATATCATCATATGCTGAATTCAAAATTAAATATTTTAATGGTAGTCACTCAAGCAAAAAAGAAAAGTAATTGAAGTAAGATATTATGTTTTTCAATGTGGTAACTGTATTATCTAGCTCTTACTTATTATGTTCTAATAATACCAGCAATTATGTTACACATATTTTAATATGGATTCTAAAAGCAAATGAATTTAATTATCCCTATAATGAAATTATTTGCATGTAGAATTGACAGGTTGGCCTGTGATATTTTCTAAATGAGACCATTATATGTTAATAGTCTGCTTATTATAGTTTGAAACTTACAAGTAGGCACATTGGCTGTCAGTCCAAATTCCTTCCATTTTAGGTTACAAAGTCACGGGTCCTCTGGTCAAGTCCGGTAACATTACACGTGTTATCTAAAGGACATTGCATTATCTCTGTTCTCCGTCTTAATCTTTTCTTCTGTGAAAAATATTTAATAGTCTTTCACTACTCCATGCTGCTGTGAAGCAATCTGATATTTCTGGATTGCTTCTTTAAGTTGATTGATCGCATTGATTTAATAAGACAGGTATGAGGACTTATCCAGAAAACAAGTTTCGTTTTTCAGGTTGGGAATCAGCAAGGCTCTAATATCCTTCTATAGAAATTAATTTCTTTCATTCTCCTAAGTACCAACTGTTAATACTTACTATCTTTCTTCTTGTTATTTTGTTGACAAACACTTTGCCAGCATTTTGCAAATATAAACTGACTTAACAGCCACAATTTTGGGTTACATACAACTATAACCTCCTTTTTGTTTCAAGGTAAGAGAATTGTCAGAGAAGTAAAAAAACTTGTTTCAAAGTTCATATAAATTTAAGAACATATGAGAATTGATGGTCAAACTTTAGTGATATTTTAAATGTTTTTCTGACTTACTGTTAGACTTTAGAAATGTTCCTGAAATGCTTCTGCATTTTTCAAAGGAATAAATTTAATGCAAATAAAGTTTTAATGCATTTATATAAAATTCACATTATTACTTTATAAACACACACGTGCACACTTTTATATATATATATATATGCACATATATACATTATTCCACCAAAAATGTACAGGAAAAATTGTCCCTAAAGTTAAAAATACATTGTTGTTTGGGGACTTAAATGAATCTCTGCTTTTTTTTTTTTTAGTAATTCTTTTGTACTTTGGAAATAAAACTCAGCACAAAAAATGTAATGGCAGGCATTGTAGTTATAACATGAGGTCTGTGGTGCTGGGGCTGTCGGGAGTCTTTACACGAAAGCTTAGAAAATTGAAAGAAGGTGAACAACAGTTCAGCCAGTATAATAGAAATACATCTTTCAGAGATGTAGAGTAAATCTTTCAGAGATGCAATATATTTTTTTCATAAAAAAAAAAAAAACATGTATCTGAACACTTAGCTGGTGTCTCTTGTTTCTGCCTCTTCCAGATGTGATGCTCCCCTGTGAAACCTTGCACGGAAATCTCAGAAACCAGAGGACGGGAGGACTGTGCCAATCGCGTTACGTTGTGAGTCCTCGCTGCGTCAACTTGTTGACTTTTACCTGGCTATTGCAAGTCATGTTTGTGGATTGATAATTCTTAGTATAAATGAGGATATTAAGGCGGCTTGCTTTTAAATCTGTTTGAAAAATATCATGCACCTGGAAGTGGCGACTTGTAGCCATTAGCACCCCTGTGAATTCACTTTCTGTGATCCTGCTGAAGAGATTATGCTTCAGTCTCTCTATATAAAATAGAAGTAAATATAAACTTCAAAAAAGTCCTATTAGAAAGGTCATTTGCTGATCAGGTGACCTTGAGGGCTGCATGAAAGGACTCCGTGACCTTGGTGTGAGGTTGGAAGGCTCACGAACAACCAGGAACGGGGTGCTTTTTAGACACCAGAGAACAAAGAAAGGCAACAGATTCTCTCTGAGGTCTCTGGCATTCTTTTTAGTAGTGAGACTACTGATGTCTAGAATTATAAGATAATAAAATTGTGTTTTATTGGGCCACTAAGTATGTGTCAGTTGCTTACACCAGCGATATAAAACTAGTAATACCGACTCTGCGGTTAAGGGACACCTAGAAGGAGTTTAGTTTATGCCAGGTGTCATGCCAGACATCATTAGGTCAATCAGGGAATTACTGGATGGTGAGACTTGTTCATTTTTGTGCCCTAGTGGGCTCGTGATTGTTTAGGTGGGTGTAGTGGTCCATGGGGCCGCCACTGGCCACATGGTTTGCTAAGGGAACTGGCTGCGCCCTGCTCGTTCCTCACTGGCTAAGAGCAGAGACAGTGCATTCCAGGGCTTGCCTTAAAATCCTGGCTGCGAGTCTGACTCGTCATAACCTTCTTTTAGGACTGGTTAAGTTCTTAGAGTGCTGGCTCATGGTAGGAACTGTATAAGTGTTAGTGACTGCTGGCTTCTGACTTCTCTTCCTTCAACATCACAGCCATCAGCCTCATACTCTTTTCTTTAGGTGTGGAGGGGGGTGCCCCAAACTGCGGATGAATGCCTTGGCAGTAGAAAGCATTTCCATGCAGCTGAGCTCTTTCAGTTTTATAACGTGTTACATAACATAATTTAAACATCTTTGTACTTTTAAATTACCCTTTTTGTTTGATATCATCACACACAGAGATAAGCAAATTTAGCTCATCTATAATAATCCATTTAACTTGCCTTTCTATTTTGGCTGTTTTATGTTATCAAGTTATAGGGCTGCTTTATAATGTCACTGTTGAAGCAAGCAGATGCCTTGGTACCAGAACAAGTGTGCACGGATCTATAAAAAGAGCTCCTAGATACGAAATATTTTGCATGGAAGAAAAACCTAGTCTGAACATTGCGTTTGTGACGAACATCCTGTTAAAAGTGAGCCTCAGGAGTGAACGCACAGATACTTGCCAGTGCCCTTTCTACTCTCTAGCATCTGTGATCGGGTTTCTTTCAGATTTACTGGGGGCAAAGATTTGATCAATTCTTTAGACTTTGGGCAGAGTAGCTGTAGTTCAAGGCAGGATGCATTAATCAAATTAGCCAGCATGTGTTACATACCTCCTAATGATATTAGATAAAAGATACCTGTTTAAGGCTTTCCAGGTGAAGTGGGATTCTTAAAGCAGCGCAAGTTCTAGTAGTTAGAATCAGGCGGGGACAGGACATCCACTCCTGCACCGAGCCACCCCCACACAGCACAGCACCTACTGAGTCAGCCCAGCTCTGGTCATGCATTGTTCTGAGGAGCAGCTGGCTCCTTACCCCTCGGTCTTCTCTAGTGGCTGTTTCACTTGCTATTCACTGAAAGCTATGATCACATACCCGCTGAGGATCTGGTTAAGAACTAAGCACCAGAGCCCCCTGGCTAAAGCACAGCACTCTGAAGCTGCCCGCAGCCGCTGCAGCACCAGTTCGATCCCTGGCCTGGGAGGGACCCCCGGGGCGCGGCAGCCCCCTCCCGTCTCCCCGCTGCACCCCTCAGCAGTGCGTTTCAGACCATCTGTTCTGCTCCCCGCTCTGTCTCTGATGATTTCTCTCCCCACCCCCCACCCCTCTGACCTGTACCCCATTTCTGGTGTGCATAAATAAATCTTAAAAAAAAAAAGAATGAAGCACCGATCATCATATCGCGCACTTTAATGAATTAAAAGAGATTTCGGATTTTCCTCAAATTCACTCAACTTCTCAGTGGTGCCCATAAGCCGAGTCCTTCAACTTCTGGTTTACTCCGCCACTTCTCCCCCATTCAGTGATCCGCACCGTGTTTGCCTGGATTTCCTGAAAATCGCAGGAAACGAAGATGGACTTTCCCCCAGTTGTTGAATTAAGAGAAAATATGTAAACTTTATGTGGTCTCAGAGAACTCTCTCAACACAGAGCCTACAAAGGCTTACTGCCTGCCTTTCATTAGTTTTAAAGAGGGAGGGAGGGAGGAAGGGAGGAAGACATTTTTGAACAAAAATGGCACTGGAATGAGTTAGAAGACTTCAAGTAAACTGCTTACCTGGCTACGTCTGCCTTGCCTTCATTGACCTGTGTGCGGTGAGCCACGGCGAGCCGTCACCTGCGGCTGAGGGCAGCTTCTCCCTGCTGGCCCGCAGCCTCGCCCGCACCTCCCAGCCGCAGGTGATGTCAACGCCACGACCGAGGAGTTAGGCTTTCTCTTTGCAGCTGAACTGATGAGAGCTGCGTGTTTCGGGTTGTCTTCATGCTGGAGAAAGAAAAAGAACACGGCTTCCTGTTGACCTGGAAATGGCCCAGCGGCCGGGTTCCCCACCCGCTCCCACCTGTATGTCTCACTTGCTTCGCAGCTCTTACACCGTCGCCTAGACGCGGCCCTGAAACCAGATGTCTTGTGCACCTGGTAAACTCAGTGAAAGCCTCTCTTGCATAAACATTTAAGACCCGGGCTGAGCTCGGGGCACGCCTGTGTTCGGGCAGCCCCCACACAGACCCTTTTCACTGTGACTTCTGCTTTCCAGCATGGGGTGGTCAACTTTCCTCCTTAGTCTTTCCTGGGGAGACTGTCTGTGTGCAAGGCCCAGTTTCAGATTATACCTGGGAAGCTCTTGTGAGCCAGTACTTTAGCTGATAAAAACTTTTAAATTAAATATCCAGCCCTCTCACTGATGTTGTAGTCCAGAAAATGAATTCAGAGTCCCTATTAAGAATGAATTAGTCCCAATTACAAGTGTCTATGAAAACTTTAGTTCAGAGGGAGTAAACTCATTTCAGGGAGAGGACCCATTTTGGTGACATGCCCTGATCACCAAATCCTAAGTTTGATTAGTAGCTTTACGACACTGTGACAGATGTCATAGGTAGTTTTATGATGTTGGCTCTTACCTAGAGTGTATGGAAATGTATTAGGTATGAGTGAAATCCCTCCGTGTTTTCCAGGAAATGGAAACTGTACATATCTTAGCTTCAATATTTCTGACTTATCGACTGCCATGAAAAATGACTTTTAGAAAAGAGAGCCTGTCTCCCTTACCCTAACATCTCTGATACTGCTAATTATAGCTCTCGTATGCTAGCTGCTCACTGAGTGTTGGTTAAATCGAATACTTAACGCCAGGGAAACAAATAGATTGAGCTTGTTCTCGACTCTTCTGTTTAATTCTCAAAACTAGTACCAACCTGGAGAATGTTGCTTGGGCATATGGTTAAGTGGAGTTTCTAATTTAAAATTTATTTCCAAAATGTAAACTTTCCCTTTGTAGGATCAGAATCTGCCTTAGTAAGGTTGTCATATGGTGTAGAAAAAACATGTTCAAAGAATTTAAAAATAAAAGCCCTTTAGCATAGGGTGGATGAGAATAGCGAAGAGCTATGGCATGCCATAGTAGGAAATAGCTGGGCCCAGGGGACAGAGACTGGTGAGAAGGCGGCCCAGCACTGGCCCAGACAGAGGCAAAGGGGTCTCTGTGCTTGGCTTGGGCTAGGAGCACACGGAGACAGTGGAACAGCACAGAGAAACTGCAGAGGAATGAGGTCATCAAAGCTGTAGACTTTGCTTTACGCCCAGTCCATGGAATTAAGACCAGAGCTAGGCATGGTTATGACTGCTAGAAACTGCCTCTTCCATGTGACTTTACATTGCTTTCTCCCCGCTCCTCCAGCTTATAGAGATACAGTTGGCAAATCACATTGCCGATGTGATGATATGACACATGACGAGATGTTTACACAACAATGTGAAGATATCTTTCCACTTACACAATTACTGCTATTGTTAACATGGTGATAACATTGAAGCTCTACTCGGGGTGCAAAGTTCAACAGGCAATGTGACATTGTTAACCGCAGCCACCATGCAACTAATGAGTCTCCTGGAACACTTTATAACTGAAAATTTCTGCCTTTGTCCAAAATACCCCCACCTCCCACCCCTGCCCCTCAGCCTCTGACACTCACCACCCCCTTATCACTGTGGCTTATGGAAAGCTAAGGGATTTTCCAGTGAAAGTAAATGTAACTGAAGACATTGCCTTTTTATACTTTAACTCAAGGGTACGTAATGCAGGATAACATTTGAATTGTTTTCTTCTGTGATATGCTGACTTTTAACACTATTATAATTCTGGAATTCAGAAAATGTAAAGTTACAATTAGTTGTGCTAAGTAACATTAAGATTAGAGCACTCTTTTCAGGAAAAGAGTAGGGAAGGCTATCCAGATGAGAAGCACAATCATTAGAAGATTCGTCCTGTTTATGAGATGGCTGATTTTTGTGTCCTCTCTCTAGGTCACTGCTAGCTCTCATCCAAAATATAAGCCTGAGATTTTGCTCTGCAGAGTTTCTTATACGTTCTAGTCTGATAGAAACTTGGGTTTCCCACATTAATTCAGTTTACAGTCCTTAGTTTCCATGCAAAAAGAAAGAAAGAAAATCAACATCAAAATCTCACAAGGGAATTGTGCAAATGCTTCATGGAACTGGGGAATAATGTCATAAGCAAATTCACTGCCAAGAACTTATTGTCATGTTTCAGACACAGAATTAGGAGCCTGCTCCAGGAG